ATACCCGATGACATATCCACTTTGTCTACGGCGGAAAAAGCAAAATTCGACCGGGAGAAAGAGAAAGATAGTTTGGCTCTTTTTACACTACAAATGGCTATGACGGAGTCTTTATTTCCAAGAATTTGCGGAGCACAAACATCAAAAGAGGCTTGGGATACACTAAAAGAAGAATATCAAGGAAGTGACAAGGTACGTCATCTAAAATTACAAACATTAAGGAGAGATTTGGAAAATATGAAAATGAAAGAATCTGAGACCGTAAAAGATTACTACACTCGATTAAGAGAAGTAGTAAATCAATTAAAAGCATATGGAGAAAATATCACTGACAAAAGGGTGGTAGAAAAAATTCTAATTACTTTACCAGCCAAATATGATCCTATTGTCACGACGACAGAAGAAACTAAAGTTCTGGATAAATTGTCAGTGACAGAATTAATAGGTTCACTTGAAGCCTATGAAAAAAGACTGAGTATGCGTGAAAATGATTCAGTAGAAAATGCATTTCAGTCAAGATTAAATTTACGGTCTCAGAATTCTAAAATTGGGGGGAGAAAATTTGGAGAAAATAACAAAAATAAAATATGGTATGATATACCATGTGGAATTTGCAATAAAAATAATCACAAAGAAGAAGAATGTTGGTTTCAAGAGAAAAACCAATGCAAAAATTGTCAAAAGTATGGCCACGCCGAGGAAAACTGTTGGGGCAGAAGACAAAATCAACGGGCAAATTTTTCAGAAGAGACTGGACCAGAAGAGTTATTGTTCTATGCTTCCAACGGTACAACAAAAGACAAAAGAAGCATTTGGTACTTGGACAGCGGGTGCAGCAATCACATGACATTCGATGAAAGTATCTTTTGCAATATTGAAAATTTCAGTTCAAAAGTTAAGATTGGAAACGGCAACTATGTGGAAGCAACAGGCAAAGGAACTATCGCCATTGACACAAGAAAATGGACAAAATACATCAAAGATGTCCTATTGGTTCCAGCAATTGATCAAAATCTACTAAGTGTCGGCGAAATGTTGAAAAAGGCTACAACTTGCATTTCAGAGGAGAATCATGTACCATTTATGACAAGAACAATAAAGTAATTGCAAAAATCAAAATGGGGGAGAATCAGTGTTTTGCAATGGAATTTCAATACTCGACACA